CCTATAATCAGTGGATCCTATAATCAATTAGGTGGGAATACAGGCGCACATTCATCACCAGACACTTGTATATAAAGAACGTTAGGTTGGGTTAGGTTAGGTTAGACAGCCTTACCTCATTTAGGAAGTGCCAAAAGGGTTTAGTACGCTTGAAGATCATGTGGAGATAAATGTAAAAGTTGCGAAAAACGGAATTTGAGGGAACACCACGTGATGACCAGTACGAACACTTCCTCCAGCAATACACAATGAACAGTAACACCACTGCCAGACCCACAGTCCACGTTGATGCCTCCATATTTGTTTTATTCCCTGGGTTTTTCTCTCTCTTGTTTTTTTATTGTTTCATATTCCACTTCTTGTCGTGTCATATACGTTCTCCGTGTCTCCTCTTGCTCAATCTGAAGAAGTAAAAAAGTAATATAGATTAGAGTGTCGTAGTTTAATTTTTTCTCGGGACAAGATAACAGTACCAGTCACATCTGAGCCTCAGTAAATTTGGGGTACTATTGCAGAGGCGAGTCACCTGAAGATTAACCACCCCACCTTATATTCCCTGAAGATTAACCACCCCACCTTATATTCCCTGAAGATTAACCACCCCACCTTATATTCCCTGAAGATTAACCACCCACCTTATATTCCCTGAAGATTAACCACCCCACCTTATATTCCCTGAAGATTAACCACCCCACCTTATATTCCCTGAAGATTAACCACCCCACCTTATATTCCTTGAAGATTAACCACCCCACCTTATATTCTCTGAAGATTAACCACCCCACCTTATATTCCCTGAAGATTAACCACCCCACCTTTTATTCCCTGAAGATTAACCACCCCACCTTATATTCCCTGAAGATTAACCACCCCACCTTTTATTCCCTGAAGATTAACCACCCCACCTTATATTCCCTGAAGATTAACCACCCCACCTTATATTCCCTGAAGATTAACCACCCCACCTTTTATTACCTGAAGATTAACAACCCTTAATCTAACCTACATTACCTAAACTTAAGCCCCCAAATAATAATGGGCTGGTTAATCTTCAGGTGAGGTAAACTGGGACTGTATAATCTTTAGGTAATTCATTTTAAACGGGAATAGTTTTTTTTTTCATAATTTATGCTGACCAGTTGGACACTTCCTCACAACTCCAGTTACAGGTTTTCTTTTTGTAATAACTATCATATATTATTTACAACTGTTTTGGAGAGGTGAGGATGAACCACACTGGCTCAATGCAACATACTGGCTCATTGCACCACACTGGGTCAATGCATCACACTGGCTCATTACATCACACTGGGACAATGCACCACACTGGCTCATTGCATCACACTGGGACAATGCATCACACTGGCTCATTGCATCACACTGGGTCAATGCACCACACTGGCTCATTGCATCACACTGGGTCAATGCATCACACTGGCTCATTGCATCACACTGGGTCATTGCATCACTCTGGCTCATTGCACCACACTGGGACAATGCATCACACTGGCTCATTGCATCACACTGGGTCATTGCATCACTTCCGGCTCATTGCACCACGCACTGGGACAATGACTGCCACTGGCCTGGCTGCATCACACTGGCCACGATCACACCGCTTCCATTATTGCACCACACTTGGGTCAATGCACCACACTGGCTCATTTGCACCATACCGGGTCATGCATCACACTGGCTCATTGCATCAAGCACTCTGGGCCAATGCATCACACTGGCCTATTGCACCACACTGGCTCATTGCACCACACTGGGTCAATGCACCACACTGGCACATATTGCACCACACTGGGTCAATGCACCACACTGGCTCATTGGGTGCACCACACTGGGTCAATGGACGCACTGGCTCATTGCACCACACTGGCTCTACACATCACACTGGGTCAATGCATCACACTGCTCATTGCACCACACTAACACGTAATCACAGGCTCATTGCACCACACCGGCTCATTGCATCACACTGGGTCAATGCATCAATTGGCTCATTGCACCGCTTACTCGGGTCAATGCATCACACTGGCATCACACTGGCTCATTGCATCACACTGGGTCAATGCATCACACTGGCTCATTGCACCACACTGGCTCATTGCATCACACTGGGTCAATGCATCACACTGGCTCATTGCACCACACTGGGTCAATGCATCACACTGGCTCATTGCATCACACTGGGTCAATGCATCACACTGGCTCATTGCACCACACTGGCTCATTGCATCACACTGGGTCAATGCATCACACTGGCTCATTGCACCACACTGGGTCAATGCATCACACTGGCTCATTGCATCACACTGGGTCAATGCATCACGCTAACACGCATCACACTGCCTACGGTACCTTAAGCATTTCGGGCCAATGCATTGCACTCGCCTATTGTACCACATCATTAATTGTATCAAGCATCAATACGTAGACTAAGATTGCCTATTGCACACTGGCTCATTGCATCACACTGGGTCAATGCATCACACTGGCTCATTGCACCACACTGGGTCAATGCATCACACTGGCTCATTGCATCACACTGGGTCAATGCATCACACTGGCTCATTGCATCACACTGGGTCAATGCATCACACTGGCTCATTGCACCACACTGGCTCATTGCATCACACTGGGTCAATGCAACATACTGGCTCATTGCACCACACTGGGTCAATGCATCACACTGGCTCATTGCACCACACTTGGTCAATGCATCACACTGCCTCAACACAGGATGCGATTTTTCCCCACCATGTATTACCCACACTACTTTTACTATTGTATTCAAATTACCAGCAAGTAAATGTCCAGGTAACCCTTTCTAAATAAAAACCCCTTTATATTACTTTATTTACTTAATTCATGTTGAAAATAATGAATTACAACTTGAAAATAGCCCAAACAAGTAATGTGGTTAACAAGTGTATGGTAATGTTAAAGGCATTACAAACCAACGTACTATTTAACTGAATAGAAAAATCCAAACATTTATATAATAATAATAGTGAAATATGAGCAAACACACAAAAAGTATAAATTGCTAGTTCAACATAAGAAAATTTTAACTCTAACGCTAAGTCACAAATAGGCACATTTAACATATCTAACAAGCATCATCCGTAACCTTAATAATTTAATAACTAATCATTGTGACTGTAAGAAGCGCTGGAAAAAACGCCATTAAAAACAAGGCGTAGACTAACTCATTCTTGGCAACTTCCACACACACACACACACACACACACACACAGAGACTGATATAGCTATGAGAACAGCTCAGTCCAAACCATTGTAAAAATTATCAACAACTCGTAATCAACCAATGTATTCACTCCCAGCCAATTTTATCTTTTTTGCACTGTCAGTATGTTAAAACGCCCTGTAGTATAACCTTCTCCCCCACCTTGTTATTATATATCATAATTGTATCACTTACGTTAATTGTATACTATTTATCAATCAAGTGACCCATTCCCCAATTATGTAACTGAATATTTTCAACCTTTTGGCTGCCGTGATCTTTCAATACACAGTAAATTATTATTATTATTATTATTATTAGACATACACAGTTACACACACAGACATACACAGTTACACACATACACATAGATATACACAGTTACACACAGACATACACAGACCACTCACACAGACATACACACATACCCACACAAACACAAACACAGACATACACAGACAAACACAAACACAGACCCACACAGACATACACAAACACAGACCCACACACACATACACAAACACAGACCCACACAGACATACACAAACACAGACCCACACACACATACATACACAAACACAGACCCACACAGACATACACAAACACAGACCCACACAGACAAACACAAACACAGACCCACACAGACATACACAAACACAGACCCACACAGACAAACACAAACACAGACCCACACGTAAACAAAATACTCTTAAATTTCTCAGTGATTCGTAAGTTAAATTTCAAATATAAAATCTAAAGCGGGATATGACTTATATTAGGAATCTTTGAGAATTCGAATAAATATATACTGTAGATTCAAACCTCAAACTAAACATTTACACTTCACATAACCTGCCATGGGCGACGGTCCACTTGCGAATTGGTAAAAACAGAGTCAACAATGTACACAGATATTGTGCTCTTAACACTATGACTAAGGTTCAAAAGTGACTGGGGCTATCAGCTTACCTTGATAACCTGTGGGTGTTGGCTACACTGATCTACAGCAGGTTGATACCACATACCCCAGGAATATTGATTATCTAAAGTTAATTCTATTACCCAATAACACCATTGTAATATTTATTTAGAAATACGAAGAATATAAGATATTTTCAGAAATACTTGTACATTTTGGGGGAATGTTTGGTACTTATAATAAATGCCTCGTTTTTTTTATGACGCTGTAAGGCAACTTTAACTGACGTAACCTGATGCCTCAGCTGACGACAAAGTGATGCAATAATTACCTTTTTTATTTGTTTAGAAATTTACAAAAGTTTCACTTGATAAGTATCTTAACAGACGCCTAAATTTTCAAGTTCCACGTCGTAACTTGAAAATCAAAGCGCATCTGGGAGGAGAATTATTAGAAAAAAAATATCTTTCACAACCGTCCGAATTTCTAGATTTTATTTTTTTATTTTTATTTATTTATTGGGCACTCCTCTACAGCCTTGTGCAAGGTGAAGCGCAGAAGCGTTTACAGTGCCCAACAAGGAAGCATGCTAACTTCATGCTTGCCTTTATGTCTCATGAGTTAAGGGCATAGAAGCCTGAAGAGTCAATGGTTTATGTCATCAAGTTATTGGAAGCTCCAACAACTTGTCCCCGAATACGAATTCGCAACTTTCGATTTACACCAGGTACCTACTTTACTGCTAGGTGAACAGGGACTAATGGGGGCCAGGAAGTATGTCCAAACAACTTCCACCGGCCCGGGAATTTCTAGATAACGCCACAGCTTTGATTAAGGTTACTGTTGTTTGATCTGAGTTTTTTGAATAGTATGTTTTGCCTTTGTGCATTAAGTAACTCATTATTTAATTTGTCGTGGAACTCGGCAACCTCAGATCTCGCTATCAGGTCTGTTTCAATCGTCGGGTCCAATAGTTCACCCCCAAGCGTGATACCCCTTCTCTCAACAGCCTCTTCAAACTATAAAAGTTTGCCCTTCTGAAATCTGGGACTTTTGTGGAATTTTCCTTATGGCTGCCCTGGAAATCTAACTGGAATCTAATTTCTTTGTGATCGGTGTTTGCAAGTTTGTTCCCTACCTCGACATGACTAATGAGGTTTTCTTTGTTCGACAGAACTAAATCGAGTAATACTAAACAAATTTTTCGAATGGTCGGAAAAATGGCAGATGAAATTCAATGTGGACAAATGTAAAGTACTCAGTATAGGAGATGTAAACAGGGAAACCAGTTACCAGATGAACAACGATGCCATTGTGGAATCCGACTGCGAGAGAGATTTAGGAGTAATGATAAGTAGGAATCTTAAGCCAAGTAAACAATGTGTTTTAGCTCGTAACATGGCTAATAAAGTACTTGGGTTCATACAAAGGAGTGTTAGTTACAAGACTAGCGAGGTCATCTTAAAATTATATCTAGAGCTTGTGAGACCTCACCTGGATTACGCAGTTCAGTTCTGGTCACCGTATTACAGAATGAATATAGAATCATTGGAAAGAATCCAGAGGAGAATGACAAGACTAATCCCGGGCATTAGGAACCTTGAATACAGAGACAGGTTAAAGCATCTTAATTTGCACTCTCTCGAGAGACGTAGAGTGAGGGGCGACATGATAGAGGTGTATAAATGGAAGTCAGGGTTAAACAAAGGGGACATTACAAAGGTACTCAACTATCCAACCAGGAGCGAACTCGTAACAATGGTTTTAAATTAGACAAATTTAGATTTCGGCGTGAAATTGGTAAACACTTGTTTGGATGATTGGAACAAGTTACCAATTATCATCATTAACTGGAATACGCTGAATAGCTTCAAACATAGGTTGGATGCTTATATGAGCAATAGGGGTTGGGTATAAACGGGACTGCCCAGTATGGGCCAATAGGCCTGCTGCAGTTTCCTCCATTCTTATGTTCTTATGTTCTTATATTATTACCCCGGGTGGGTTCGGTTATATGTTGACTTAGGAAACAGTCCTGGATTGTATCAAGAAAATCCTCTGATTCTGAGTTACCCGTAAGGTCAATCCAATCTATTTGGCCAAAGTTAAAGTCGCCTACTATACAGACTTTGTTGTGTATGGAAGCCCTGTGCATTTCATCCCAGATAAGTCGCTCATTAACTCTATCAAGATTGGGAGGTCTATATATTACTCCTGTGATTAATTTTCCCCTACCGTCGATTAATTCTATCCAAACTGTTTCTGTATTCCGCTCAGTTTTTATTTCCTTATTTATTTCACACTTCAGATTATCCCTGACATAGATTGCTACTCCGCCTCCTTTCCACATTGTTGTACTTCATCTAAATTTAACCCTTTCACTATATGTATCTCTAATGGGTAAACCTGATGTATGTACACATAGTGGAGATAGGCTGGCGTAGGCGTAAAACGGAATGTAGCTTAATATATTAAAGAAAGGAACATTTTGCACTCATTTAGACATAAAACGGGAGAGTAAAATCTGGCTTACACGTAGAACAAGGTATTAATAAAAATACAATTGATAAAAACTGAAGGTGTAGAAAAAGAGCTTAGGATAAAATGATGAATAAGAAAAATAAATAATAGGAAAAAAAGGCGCGACGGGGAGTTCCCCTGAGATGACGTCAACAAAGAAAGCGATAAAGGTCATTTCCTTCTGTTACGTCAGCTGAGAGGGAACCTGACAGCCTAACTGACCTACAGTGTGTCTAAAGTTTGTGTAAGTTGAATATTCCTCGTAAATAAAAATGTTCCAAGCTTTTTAAGTTAAAAACACGAAAATATAATACCTAGAAATAGTTTTTACCGAATCTATCTATCTATCTATCTGTCTATCTATCGATCTATCTATCTATTTATCTATCTATCTATCTATCAGTCTTTCTATGTGAGATTTCATCAAATTGGTTCACTTGTAAGTTACTATATAAACACGCTGCCATGGAGATAACAAAATAGTAACATCATCCTAAATATATAAAAATAATAACAGAATAATGCTGTAACGTTATCCTAGAGGCAGAGAATAACAAGTCCCAGAGATGGATATAAGAATGGCATCAATACAGTCATCATGTTAGCCTAGGGCTCCACTGTACAGGCCTCGGTAGAGGTAGTAACAGAATTTGACCAACACCCCAGACTAACATCACTATAGACAGACTAGAAAATATCTACTCTATACCATAATCACTTTACAAAATTATAAACTACCAAGAGTAGTACGGTACAAACCTGTTAGAGCTCTTCAAGCGACGCACAGCGACTAAAGCTCAGGCTTCTCTAGATATGATAATAACGACGACCTTGCATCAGAATTCCACCAAGTTGCAAGATACCTCTACACAGCAGCGTTATAATAGTCTTTATTCATTATTTGAAGTCATTTCAAATAATTTATTTGTTATGGGACTCGACGTCTCCAAAGCATTTGACAGGCAGTCTTTGCTTTCTAAACTTCCCTCTTATGGTTCTCTTCCCCACTTTGTTTTCTAATCTCTAGCTTCCTTGAGAACCGATCCATGGCAGTTGTTGTCGTTAGGCCACCTGGCTTATTGCATCATAAACTTTGTAATTACTATATTGAATCGGGGTGCTTGAGGACATTCTTGCTGTTTATCCCAAATTTGCTAGCCCACACTGATTAGTCTTCAATTAGAATATGACGTCCAATGTATATGAACTACTGTCCTGCATGGCAGTGAACAGTAACATTGTAGTGGATTCCTCCCCTACAAACGCTGTTTGCCGCCGAGTAGCCGACCCCGCGAATTCCCCAGTGCATACCTCGTGGTCTTGGTCAACCATGCGCCGCCATACATGACGGAGGTCAACTATTAAGCCACGCCTACTTCCGCTATATTAGACCTGACCTCGTGGTGACCTACCTCTCTTTTCTACTTACAGCCACCAGCAAGCAACGCCTCCTCCTCCTCCTCCTCCTGCCTGGCGGTCCTCGCTCCCGCCGGCGACCATGGCGACCCACAAGCTGGTCCTCCTCTGAGCACCCTCACCAACCAGCTCTCTCTACTCAACGCTTGTAACCATGCTGCCTTCCCAGCACCAAGCTGCATTATACATTTAATACACTATGTATACAGAGAGCATATTGTGAGTTTCCTTTCTCCATCCCATCCTGAGTGTGAACCCAAACATAACGTACCCCACAAATGCTGACCCCCGGAGATTCGCACCCACACAGGATGGAGGAGAAACCGATCACTCTCCCAGTCTTCAAGCAACATGGAAGACTGGCTTATCCACACAGAGGCAGCTCTCACCGGCTCTACAGCTACTGTCTCTACACTGCAGGTTGACACCCTTGAGCAGCACTGCTTCTCTAAGCAGACACCAGCTCCTCTTCCTGCCCCAAGCACCACGTCTTACCGACCCCAGCACACCCATCCTGCCTCAGACGCCGCCCCGGCCCAGCAGTACCCCCTGCCACTGTCCTGGACCCTCCTCCTGACGCAGACCCTCCTCGGCTCCTGCCTGGCAGCCCCTGCTCCCGACGCGGCCCATGCGCCTGAGTGCGGCCCCACATACCCTTTTTTTCCCTCAGGTACTCCCTGCTACTTTCCTTCACCCTGTTGCTGTCGTGGACCCTCCTGCTGTCATGCACCCTGCTGCTGTCATAGACCCTCTTCCTGATGGAGCCCCTGCTCCTGACCCAGACCCACACACCCCAGCAGGCGCATCTGAGGACTCTGTACCTGCCGCGAGGGAAGCAAAAAAATTCAACGCCTCCACAACCCTTCTTCTCCCTCTCTCCTTCCACAGATCTCGTGTATCTAGACAAAGTTGCCTCCCGTAGCGACCGGCTAATCCACGCCCTCGCCGTTATGTCTCACATGTGGCATACAACCAAGCCGACAACAAGTCTCCTGCACCGCCCGTTCTGCCTCACATGTGGGATGCAACCCTGCAGACAACAAGTCTCCTACACCGCCTGGAGGGAAGGGGGAGTATTGTAGTGGATTCCTCTCCTACAAACGCTGTTTGTCGCCGAGTAGCCGACCCCGCGAATTCCCCAGTGTATGCCTCGTGGTTTACGTCAACCAGCGCCGCCTTACATGACGGAGGTCAACTATTAAGCCACGCCTACCTCCGCTATATTAGACCTGACCTCGTGGTGACCTACCTCTCTTTTCTACTTACAGCCACCAGCAAGCAACACCTCCTCCTCCTCCTCCTCCTGCCTGGCGGTCCTCACTCCCGCCGGCGACCATGGCGACCCACAAGCTGGTCCTCCTCTGAGCACCCTCACCAACCAGCTCTCTCTACTCAATGCTTGTAACCATGCTGCCTTCCCAGCACCAAGCTGCATTGTACATCTAATACAATATGTATACAGAGAGCACATTGTGAGTTTCCTTTCTCCATCCCATCCTGAGTGTGAACTCAAATATAACGTACCCCACAACATCACCCACATGACTCTGACCTATATATACTGCTAATGATTATGATGTATTTCTTTGTGTGTGAACCTTTGTCTCGCACCTCAATGGACATTGACATCACCCACATGACGCTGACCTATATATACTAGGGTGTGTCAATTTTGTCAACATGTTAAAAATCAAATTTGGTAGTCAAAATATTGTGCCTCTTTATGTCTAAACTTGAGATTAGCAAACAAAAATGAATTGAAATAACCCTCACCTACATCAATTATACCTTAAAGTTTCAAATATCTGTATTTCAACAAATTAATGAGACTTGATTAGAATTATTCACTTGATATTAACTAATCTCATGTAAGCATATGGATTATGGAGTATTTTATGGTTCTATAGCTTGTGTACAATATGCATGTCAGAACATGAACATGAACATGAACAGGCTCTCCGTGTGGGACAGTTTAATTCTTGTTTTGACTTGTACCAAGCGTGAGGATAAGGCGCCCGGCTCACTCTCCTTCTAGATATCATAGACGGTGGTTTGCTCTCATTGCACTTGCACCTACTCTACCAGACGAATTCTACATTTTAATTATTGTAAGTAGGGCATATTGATTGTCGCAGTTACTTATATCATTGTATAAAACATTATGTTCTAAGAAATTATTATGTTATTTCTGTTACAGCATTTTGATAAACAAATTGATATTTTTTGAAACAACAATTGAATTATGAAACATTGAAATATTTTTCTATTTGTCAGATAGTGTGAAGATGTCAAAATTGAAGACAAGAAGTCAGTTGTCAACCCACTTGAGCCTGTTAGTTGGTAAAGGGAAGGAGCTTCCTGTATCAGAACTTCCAACAGTGAGAGACATGCTAAGATTAGGGTTACTCCTTCGAGAAAAAAATGCAAAGGACAGAAGGAACTATACAGATAAAGAACTCATAAATGACATGATAGTCCCTCTTCTGCATCAATGGACAAAAGCTAATGCACTATTCAAACCACCTGTGATTAATCAGAGTCGAACTATTGAGCTAAAACTAACGAAATTATGGCACAAAGCAGTTGAAACATCACTTGGTAAAGGAAACGTGGCCAGGAAAAATGAATTTCTGCACACACTTGATACTCTGTTTGACATTTTGACCTGCAAGTGCTCCATACAATTATGTTCTGAATCCAACTGTTCTCACTCAGGTAAGAGAGAAAATAATTCCCATATTGATTGTGGTTGTCCTCGTGAAAAGAAGATCCCTGTTTTAGAGCTTGAATTTATAAAGGCACAGAGGACAAAGGCAGAAGGCCAAGGAAGTATGCAAATGGGTTCAATAGATTATTCAGAAACAAAGAAGCAGATTGCTAATGCCAAGAAGAGAGAACAAATCCGAGAGAGGGAACAAAAGAAGAAAATGAAGAGTGAAGAAGCCATCCAAAGAGAGGAAGAGCTGTGTCAAGATGTTTATCACTTCTTTGATAGTTCTTCTGATGAACAGGAAGCAACATCAGATGATAGTTCCAAAGAGTCATCTGAACCTTTACCAAAGAAAATGAAATACAACACAAGAAATATTTCAAACATTGCTTTAGCTAGTATTCGCCACCATGCTGGACTTCGTGAGGCTGCAGAAATTGCAACTGCCGCTTGGATAGATGCAGGCTTCATCAGCCGAGAGGATGTATCTTTGGTGATAGATCATAATAAAATTAGAAGAGCACAAGAAAAAATAATGAAGGAAATATCTGATCAGCATGAAAAAGATTTAAGCGAGGGAGGGCTCTCCTGTCTTTTGTTTGATGGAAGAATAGATGACACAAAAGTTTTGCTAGAAGTAGAGGGAGTGAACAGAAAGTTTCCAGGTCTCATCAAAGAAGAACACTTCTCTGTCTGTTCTGAGCCTGGTGGTCTGTTTTTGTTTCACTTTGCTCCCGAAACTGAAGTAGAAGGGAAGAAACATGCAGAGGTCATTGCTGATCATATTTTATGTTGGGTTCAGGAGAGAGGACGTGGCAGTTCACTGCAGGCTGTTGGTGGAGATTCAACTGCAGTGAACACCGGATGGCAGGGGGGTGTAATGACGCATTTAGAGAAAAAAACTAGGAAGAAGACTTGTTTGGATTGTATGTGATTTACATACAGGCGAGCTACCTCTTCGTCATCTCATCCAGGAACTTGATGGTCCTACAAAGAGCAACAACAAGTGGTCAGGTCCCCTTGGCATCATGCTGGATGAAGCAACACAACTAGAAATAAATACAACCTTTCGAAAGGTCGAAGTTGGCCCTCCCCTTCCGGCGTTGTCTGAAGGAGTCATCAAAGATCTCAGCACAGATCAATCCTATGCTTATCGTATTGCCCAAGCAATAAGATCTGGAGAAGTGCCTCAGTCATTGGCTCTCTTGGAGATTGGACCTGTCAGTCACAGCCGTTGGTTAACTACAGCTCTTCGTTTCTGCAGGATTTGGATTTCCAAACACGAATTGAAGGGCAAAGTGCTGAAGAATTTGAGGTTAATTGTTGAATTTATTATTGGAGTTTATCTTCCCCAGTGGTTTAGTGTGAAACTTAATCCTATGTGGGTGGATGGGCCCAATCACCTTTTGTTTCAATTGCAGCTAGTAAGAACATAGAGGAAGGTAGTGAGGGACATCGTGTTACCTGTGGCAAGAAGGTCCGCTTGGTATGCTCGATCAGAAGCAGTTTTGCAAGCAATGCTTTGCAGTCAATGTACCAATCTCCGAACCGAGGCTGTAGAAATCATTCTAAAGATTAGAGGAACGCTAATAGATGACGACCAGTTGGGAGACTGTTCGTTTCATTCAAGAAAAGTTCCCCCAATAAACGTCAATGCCACCAAATTGTCAGAATTGGTTGACTTGAGTTTGGAAGTCTTAGAGCCACCATTGACAACAAGTCTAACTAGCCAAGAATTGAGAAACCTTAAAGAGACTCCAATGCAGGTGCCGAAGTGGCCTTCCCACACTCAAAGTGTGGAGAGATGTGTAAAAATGGTCACA